AATAATGCCTTTGTAGGCTATGATGTCAACCCTCTGCCAAAAAAGGAGGTACTTCTCATGGAATGGAGTAGGGGGTACCATTTTTAAGCTCCATCTACCCCGGAGTTCTCTCGCTAAAATAGGAGGAACTACCAAGGAGTCCAGCCACAAACCAGACGAGTCCAAGGGTTTTCCCAAAACCCAACCGTCGAGGCATGGCCTTGGCTCCTATTTGGCCTGTCATAAGGCCATACTCCCCTACAAATTACCAAGGCGTCCAAAAAGGAGATATGGCTGTGGGTCAAACATGCGTACCCAAAATGGAACACTGGTAATTTGGAACCAAAGACTAAAACATGCGGTCCCCTGCTGACTTTATTTTGACCCATACCCATATGGTTAAACTGAGCACCAAGAAACAAGACCAAAGATCTAGGAGTACCTTCCCCATTCTTTCCAGGGATCCTTCTTTCTAGAAAACCCCCAGAAACCCATGGAAAACGGCTGGATTTTGAAAAGAACGATGGTTCAAAAAGAATGGTTGGAATCAACCCCTAGAAAAGACCAAATTCCCCCTTCGCCTCTTCCCAGAGGCTGGCCCTCCAGGCGCGCCAGGAGTTCTGCACGCAGTTTGCGGAGCCTGGGGAGTGAAGCTGCGAGAACATCCTCCGCAGCGGCATGCCCAGCCTGGCCTCGCGACGTGGGAAACTTAGGTGCCCTTTTTAGGGGCAAAGAGATGGCCCTGGATGATTAAACCACCAGGTAAACCAGGAATCGCCGCCTATTTGTCCAAAAGAACCAAAAAGGACACCTATGGTTGGAAAGCGAAGGCTCCGAATCGAGACTCGGTTGTCGGGAAGGGACTCGGAAGGTTCTCACCCAATGGAATACGGAAAACCGTGTTGATTCGATTTGGCCAATTCCATGGGTGGTGGGTTGGAGGTAGTTTCTCTTTTATCCTCTGCAAGAACCGCTTCAAATCCTCAATAGGTTGTCACGGGAAGTGGCGACAGAAACAACAAATTAGACAGGCTGTATCCCCAACAGCCGAGGGGACCATTGTATAGGGAATTCGCTATTTGACTTGCTTTGGGAGAGAAACAAAACTGGTTCGCGCTTTCTTGCGATCGGTTCGATATTCCAAAGCATGAATTGGAGTGACTTTGAGCTGAAACATCCAAAACCGGTCATTCCGTAATGGTCGAGTTGCTGGAGGGTGAACCATCCGAGGATCCGAAAAGACTGCAGTGGAGAGCAGGGTTGTCCTTCCAGAACAAAAAGACAAAAAGCTGTGGTGGCGGCCCACGGAAAAAAGGACGAGACACAAAGCGGGGAAAGCAAAAAGGACTTGAGACGGCGTTAGCAGGGAAATGAGTTGAAGTACTCCGGACTCCGAAGCATCATGTTTCGCCTTCCTGGCCTTTGGACCTTAGAGTCGTGGCTCTGTTTCGGCGTGAAGTGGGTCAATGGGACTCAGACGCAAGCCCAAATGTCCGATGGATCCCGAAGGAAACAAGGCCCTGGGGCCCTGCGCGGACACACTTCATGCGCGAGATGGATGGTGACCAGATACTTAAAAAAAAAAAAAAAAAAAAAAAAAAAAAAAAAAAAATCGGAACAAGGACTCTTTGGATGTTGCTAGAGCATTCTTTCTCCACGCTGCATTGGGAGGTACCCCGAGGAGCCAAGGATTCATGCCGGAACCGAAAGCTGACCTAAGGCATTGAAACTGAGACGTGGAACGTTCAGCCATTTGCAAAAAGGGCGTCCAGGCCAGTTCCAATGTGTTTCACGAAGACATCCTCCAAATGAGTAATCCTCCAAATTCCCTTGGTTGAAAGGAAACCCGGGACCCAATCGAGCTTCTTTTGTGTGTCTCTGTAACGATCACTTGGGACTCGCGTTCAAGCGCCTCATTCAGGAGCTCGCGCAGCCGGGGGTGCGGTGGGAAGGGCCCGTCCGCCTGCGCGTTGAAACCGCCGTCGGCGTTCTTCGGGACGCTTTGGCCCATGAGCTAAAGAAATCACCACTTTGTCAAGTTCCAAGAAGGGACTTTGACATTTGAGGACACCGCAAAGCAGAGCCGGGCCCTGTAAAGTGACACTCCCAGCAAACAAACAAACAAACAAACAAACAAAGGTTGTAAATAAAACATGGTAATGAACATGAATATACAAACAGTACAAAAGGAAACAAGCAACAAACAAGCAGTCAATCGAGAAAAAACTACCAATCAACCAACCAACCGACCAACCAACCAACCAAACGACCAGCCAACCAACCGATCGACCGACCAACCAACCAAGCAAGCAAGCAAGCAGACCACCCACCAACCCACCAACCCACAAACCACCCGACCAACCGACCGACCGACCGACCGACCGACCAACCAACCAACCAACCAGCCGAACGCACAGACAAACAAACACACAAACATACAAACACACAGGCAAAAAACACGCGAAAGGAAGAAAATGCGAAGAAGAACAAAAGAAACACACAACATAAACCAATCAATCAA